AAAAAAAAAAAAAAAAAAAAAAAATTACTAGCTTTACCATTAAAATAAAAAATTATATATCTAGCCATATCTAATTTTATACTTCGCCCGGTCTAATATCGGGTTGTGTGTGCTCAAATGAAGTTCAAAGACAAAAAAGAACAAGATTTTGAGAAGCTGTTGCTCATCATGGCGGACATTTCAATTTGAGCTTGGAGAAGATTGGGGAAGACAACTCATGTTCAAGTAAAATGACATTTTTACCATCACTTAAATAAATACTTTTCGGGCCATCCCATGATGTTTTTCAATTTATTTTTATTGGGCTAGTACATTGGGTTAATATTTGGCCCACTAAATTAAATAAAATGGATTGTCACATGTAATTATCTTTTGGGCTTCTTCCAACACATTGAATAACACATTCTTTGACCGATTCTCTACGGTCCCGCCTCCATTAATTATTTTGATTCCATTTTCTATTAAAACACTTCATCAATGTTTAATAAAATTAACTACAACAAGCAAAAAATATATATCAAGACGAAACAGAAACAAAAATCATTGTTAAATGCATGTAAAAATGGCGCATGTCGTTGAGTCATCTAGTAAACCTTACAACGTAGACAGAAACCAAAACTCATACCGAGTTGATCGCTGGCACTCTCGACTCGACTTGTTTGATAGACAAACTCAATTAGTTTTTTTATATGAGCTCGTGCAAATATACAAGCTAGTCGAGCTTGAGATTTTACATGTCAATCAAAAGGGACAACTCGATTCAAATAACATCAGTAATTTTGCAGCCCCAGGTGAAAAAAAATTCTGGCTACGCCCCTGATTGCAAGGTCTAGCAATTATAAAGAATAATCTTATACAATAAAGTTTATCAACACCCACCTGAAGCCGAGGCAGAAATGAGTACAAAATAGCTCGGTAGGACGGGGAGGCTCGACTTCTCAAAAATCTTCATTTTCGCGAGATAACATACACTACAAGAAAAACTGCATTTGACGACGCTTATTAATGACGCTTATTGGCGAGTTTTGTTGCTAAATTTGATGTCAGAAAAAAATAAGCGTCAGTAAACAAAAAAAATAAGCGTCACCAAATGCAGTTTTTCTTGTAGTGATATCAACGAAATATATCGAACAATTCACACGATAACATATTAAAATAAAAATACGATACATAATATAAATCGAATGGGGCACAACACATGGTATGGTAGGTGAAGAAACATTCATATTATAAAATTAAAAGAAAAGGAGAAAGTCTCCAAAGTATGAAACCGCGAGACAGGGCCACATGAAGAGCACACCACTGAGACAATGTTTGTGGTGCAGAAGAACAGTACTATTACCATTAATTTCCCCTCTGTACCCATTTTGCCCCCATATTCACATAACATAACATGCATTTGGGTTCTCGTCACTAAAAATCTGTGGAGGATAAGCGTTCATTTCGTGCACAAACCTCGGAGGGTAAATCGGGTAATTCAACTGGTGATTCTGTGGGTAGTAATAGTAAAACTCCTTTTTTATCAACTCCATCTTTTGGTCCTCAGCCTCATCAGCCTCTTCCTTAGCTGGCGGATCGCCGCCACCGTCACCACCTCCGGCGGCGGTGGTGGTGGCGGTGGTGGCGGTGCCATCATCTCCGGCGCCTTCATTGTTTTCTTTGGAAACTTGTTCCTCTTTCTTTTGTTCCTTTTCGCCGGATTCCTTCTCGGCTTTGTTCTCCTCTTTGGTTTCTTTCGCCTCTTTGGCTTCTTGGGTCTCGTCAGGTTTCGGTTCCTCTTTCTTTT